AACTATTACTGATTTATGGATAATTTGTGAGGAATTCTAATGAATTCGAATTCTATGGTACACCAAATCAAATATTGGCTTCAAACAATACGATTATTATTATTATCATTATTATCATCACAATCATTAGAATTGAATGAATTTACATCAACCAAAGCTATTAACGTCAGTACCAGAAAGCGATATCGAAGACGAATCAGTATCTACCAGGATAACATCCTCACCTACGGTTCGATTAATTAATTAAATTTTTGTAAGGAAATTGGAAGGAGTAAAAATTAAAAAAAAGCAATGTAACAATAACAATAAGAACTACAGTAATGACAACAGTTAGTAATAGATGAGGAAAATAATAGAGTAATTCAACTAGTCATTTGAAAAAGAACAAATGAGTAATTTGACGGTGACAAACGGATGACATTTTTTTTTTTTTTGTTTCAAAAAGATAACATTTTTATTGTTGAGATAATTTAAGATAGTCACCTTATTGATTATTATTTAATTGAAATATGCAGAATATGAGGGAAAGTTATCGAAGTATATTGTTTAAGTCAAAAACCAAATCCATACTTAGCCATATATATATATATGTAATAAATAATTGAACAGATGAGTATTTGAAGGGTGACAAAAAGGTGACATTTTATAGGCATTATATATCCATACTAGCCACCTTTTATTCTTCTCTCAATTCGTATATTGATTATAATTTCAAAACTGTTACTTTATAGATGCAATGTTTGTAAAAAAAGGAACTTAATTGGAATGACATTTTGGTGACATTTCGTACTTTTGAATTTTGATTTTTCCAACTAAGCTGTACAGTGTTGAAATAGCTGATGATATTTCTAGTTACATATATTTGGAAGATAAGACTATTTTAACAGGAGTATTCATTTATTCAACTTGTCTCCTGCTATGTGACATGCGTAACTGTACGTACTAACTGATATCATTTACTAGAGATTTTTATTACATTCAGTTCATCTGCTTAATCAAATCAATAATTCTTATCATTTGCCGTTATCTTATCACTAATTTGGTAGTGTTTCTTAGTTAGGACTTTTGAAGATTTTACAATCCTCTGATATCAATTAACTGATTGTCACTCTTTCAAGACAATAATAAGATATATAAATGAGATCTTGTCAGATTTAGTGAAAGTGAAAAGTCAATTGAATCTATATACACTCTCCATTAAATGATAATTTGATTGCATGATAACGGATGAAAATTAACCATATCCATTTGGTTAAGCTATTACCATCGAATCCACAAGAAAATCATCTGTTACATCCGTTATCAAATTATGCGAGCCGAAAAATTGGAAGGCAAGAGTTATCATCATTTCGTTATCAATTACAACAACGAACTGGTGGTCAACGTTCAAGCTTTATGCGACGTCTTTCTGCAGCTATACCATCTCTTTCGACAGATTCAATGCCTTTTGCTGCCGTAAGTTCTTTGTTGCCGTAAAAATTTCGGTAGTATTATTGGACTCGGTGTAATTTCATCTCAAATAGTAATTCTATATCAGATAATAGATTACTAAGAATTTATTTCTTAATCAATATTTGATAATCTCTTCAATTCATTCATCATTTATTGTTTCAAATAAACACTTCAAAAATTCTTTCTTCTCTATTTAAAATTAACTTTTATTACTATTACTTTTTAATTGAACATATAAGTGATTGATAAAAATACATTTCCTTTAACTGATAACTAACTTGTTATTATGACTGATTGTTTGATAAGTTTTGTTGTAGTCTACAAATGTCATTATCACTTAATCATACTTATCCCTCTTCTTTAAAATATTAAATGTATTCATTTATCTGATAAGAGGAAAACAAATAAACTGTAATAGTTATTTTATTTGTTTATTCTTTTTTTTTTTTTTTTTTATCAAATGATTACTTATCTTTCGTAGTATTGTCATTTGCTAAAAAAAAATAATGTTTAACAAACAATGTCATCACAAAATTGATATTTCATTTATCATTAATGAAATGATACATATGATGAGGTGACAGATAAGAATGACTTTTGAGAAATGACATCATTTCATGTAAAGATGTTTAAACAAACCAAAGCTGAAATCATCACTTATAAAGCTTTTCCAACTTAGTCAATCTCCATTTTCGTCATTTTTTCTTAACCAAAAACATTGATTTGTAGTTTGCTTTATTTTCTTCACAAAACAAAACAAAAAAAAGTGTTGTTGTCGTCAGGCTGAAATTCTTATCTAAGTTTTTTTTTTTTTTTCACTTGTCATTGTTCTATTTTAAATATTCTTCTTTTCTAAGCTTTGATTTTGTTATTTTAATATCGTCAGTTATTTTGTTTATATTATCATTTCTATGTATACAAAAAAAAAAAAAAAAGCAATCGAAAGGCTTATATTCGAAATAGGTGACAGATAGAAAATTTCATGATATGAAATGTCACATGATAATCTTAACAAATGTTAAATTCACATCCAATTGCTTCAATGCTATTTTAAACTTTCTATATGAAAAGTTAAAAAAAAAAAAAAGGAAAATGTTTAGTTTTTGCTTGCATTTTTAATGTAAACTTAACTATAATGCAAAAGCATAATATTTAAGTATAATTTATTGATCGATCATTAATTGAAAGATTGATTGATTTAACCAAAGATAAATTCAATTGGAAAAAATATTTATATACCGTAGGTCTAACTATTATTATGTCTTATCTTATTTTACATACTGTAAGTATTAGAAAAATCAAATAGAAGGGAAGATTTCAGGTAAATTTCCATACTAACTAACAATGTTAAAATGAAATATCGCTCAATTCATTGCTACTACTATTGCTGCTATCAATTTGATTATCCGATAAGGCATCAAACTTATCAATGCCACTATCAATTTGATTATCTGATAAGGCATTAAACTTATCAAACTCTTCTGCATGTTTTTGTTCACTATTTTCAAAAAATTTCTCCTAAATTAAATTGGACTAGTGAAGAATAATAAATGAAAAACGAAAGCGTAATCGTTATCACAACTTGGAAAATGTATGGTCACTTTTGATAATAACACTTACTTATACATTAATCAACTAACCTATGATCTTTGATGATCTTTTTTTCTTTTTTTTTTGGAATCGTTTAACTCGAAATTAAGAAATTTCATTGCTCCATGCACTGTACAATTTTTGTTGCTTAAAATATTAAATGTATAGATTGACGAAAAGTTAAACACTCTGAGATATCTCATTGGATTCTTATTTTATCGATTTTATAAATGAAATGAAAAAATAAAATGTTGTGTAAAGAAATGAAAAAAAAGACAACAACGAATTCTCGGGATATAAGAAAAGTTATGCCAAATGTTGCTACCGAATTGACAAGGTGAATTTTTCTTTTTTTTTTCTTTTTTTTTGTTACATGAAAACACTTAAGACAGGATTATGTAATTGAAATTTATATAAATGATTTCAATTAAATTCCTATACCAGATAAATGAAATGTATTAAAATGATGTAAAAAAAATTCCAAATATCAGTTAAATAGTAATTAATTTTAATAGTAATTTTAAGAAAATATTTTTTGAAATAAAATAATAAGTAAAATGATAGCGTAGTATTTTTTTTTAAAAAAAAAGCACTTCTTTTAATAAGTTTTAAAATTTAATTTTCGTCTTTTTTTTTTTACAATTTATTCTATCATTAAATAATTTTAAAATTATAATTATAAGTTTTATACTTAAACATTCAAATAGTTTTAACATAATCAAATAATTTTAAAGCCGTAATTACAAGTTTTATACTTAAATACTTAAATAATTTTAACATAGTTAAATAATTTTAAAATTACAATTATTACTATCGTACCATTTGTTCATTTAATTGTTACAAAAATTTTTTTTTTTTTTTTTTTAAAACATTTCAATAAGACATTTCATTCCCCATAGATATCTTAATATTTAGATGTATTGCAATGACCTTACCCGGCAATGTGATCAAGGTAAGTTATCCAGCATTGTAAGCCCATAAGCTGATTGATTCATCTTGCAATGCTGGCTCATCATCATCATCATCCATCATACTGCTTTTTTTTTTTTTTTTCACTTCACTTAATTAGAAGAGATCTTTTCTCCCGAATGATTTTGTTCTTCTACCCGCACTTGAAATGTTGTATCGAGCATTTACTTCGAACATATTGAGAATTATTCTTTGGGGAGGAAAAACGAAAATGTTCGGTTGTTCGAATGTTATTCAGTATATCGTATAGATTGTGAAGAAGTGTATTTTACTTCTTCTCGATGAACCAATGAAAGAAGAGGAAACGATCATATTCCTAAATTTTAATTAAATCATTTCTATCACATTTAACATTTTCCATCCGTAATATTTAACCCTTTTTTTGTTTTTTGTTTTTTTTTTTTTTTTTTTTTTTTTTTTTTTGTT